GTTTACAAAATAAATCATTATGTTTGATCAAGTTCGAACCACACGAATTTGTTAATGTGATTGAAACCATATAAACGTCAAACGTAATTTTAAATAATTCAATTCATCGTGATTGAGCAAGAAGTTCCAGAAACTATAGGAAATAAGGCCAATCTTGTGATTTAGTAGGTATTGACAATTAATAATTGACGTTTCTAATTTTCAATGACCTGCAAATATTTGTTAGTTTTGTCATTAAGTATGAATGAGTTACTATGGTGATACTTAATGCCCTAGGGCATAAAGTGGTACTTTATGCATGCGTATCACAGATATAAAATGTGCTATGATAGGTTAGTAAGACATAAAGATTTTTATAATACCCAAAAAAGGTCCGTAATTCGGAAACAAAAGCCAAAATGAAAACAATTACTTAAAAAAAGTGTTGGTTTGACGAGTTTTATAACCCTTATTGTGTTGTTCACTTTAAGTAGAAACACCCTGCATATCTCTCAAATTATTCATTCTAGAAAAAAAAAACTACTTATATTTTGGTAGGAAATGAGATTTCATTTTGTAAATATATGTAAGTGGTTGATAATTTTCAAGATATTGAGGAAAAACCGAAAAAAAGACCTGAAATTAAAAACGGCGGCATGTTGCACACCCCCCACATATGCGGTTTTTGGACATGTTCAAGAAGAAAAACATTTCAAAACTACAATAAGATTTTTTTGGTTTATTTAACCTAAATTGACTAGGCTAACGGTAAATTCACATTTCCTAACCAGCGTTATGATTTGAAACGATCGTTCAAGAAACACAACAACTAATTCCAGTTTTTCACACCGCCGAAAAGAAATCAAATTTCCCTTTTAATTAAAATCTTGCAATCTCTCTCCGATGGTTAAGAGACTTTTTTCAAGTTCGAATAATCCCCCTTTTAAAATGATGAAGCCTAAATTTCTATACGTTAGTGTTTTTAGTAATACCAATCCTGAACGGGTTTAAGGCTCTTAATCAACCCCAGAACAAACGGAGTCATCCACGGTACGTTTATCTTTATGAGCTAAGAACTGTAACTTCAATAACTATTAAAAAATACAGAATTTGATCCAACACGCAGAGTTCGAGGCGCTTAAACCTTCCGGGGACATTTACAGAACAAATAACTCATTGAAAATAAACTGCGTAAAATAACGTAAACGTTACTCGCCCTAATAGTCTAGGAAATGAAGGTTTTACCCTGGTAATTATTTCAAAATGAATTTAACTTGAAATTTGGCAGTCGGTAGGGAATATAGCCTAAGGAGCAAAATCTACATCATGCCAATAGTCCGGGCTATATAATATTTTTTGACAAAAAAATTAGTTACCGGTTCAAACCAGATTTTTCATGCAGGTGAAATGATTAGAAATATGGGGAAAAATAATTAAAACAGCTGAATTTTTCCGCGAGTTAAATCCCGGGGGTCGAAAGGGGGGTGAAAAGTGGTATTTTGCAAATTGTGGCTAAACTATTAACTTTAGACGAAAATAGTCAAGTCAAGTCAAGTCGGTTTATTAATAAAAAAACTATTTGTAGTCAATGAAAAAGTTAGAGAATAAAAAAATGAACAACTTTTGTATCTGCACTATTTTCACATAACCTCCAATTTTCCTAGAAGAACACGAAAAACTGTTTTGTTCGTTTTTTATTCTCATTTTTGCGAAAAAAAAGTCGTAGAGATTTGAAATTTGGAGGAAACATACCTTGTTTTATCATAAAACAGAAGACAATTGTTCATCCCTTTGAAAAAGAGGTGTTTTTTCAGAAATCGTGACTTTACAGGCCCAAAAAGTTTATTTCCTTTTTATCACAAAATGTTTTCTCCAAATTTCAAATTTTCACAAAAATAAGAATAAAACGAAAAAAACATTTTCGTCTAAAATGAATAGTTTTGCCACAATTTGCAAAACACCGCTTTCCACCCCTTTCAACCCCCGAGATTTCACTCACTGGAAAATGCAGTTTTAATTATTTTTCCCCAATTTCTAATCATTTCACCTGCCTGAAAAAACCGGTTTCGCCCGGTAACTAATTTCCTCGCTAATTTCTTTTGAAAGTAAATTATTTTAGAGCTATTTAGCCTGGACTAAAAGGATGTTTTGGCCGTAAGGGTGGTGGCCACCCCATCTCGGGAGTGGAAATTGTTGTAATTTTAACACAGTAATAGATAGAAAAATTAATTCTAAGCAAAAAGTGTTCTAGACATTTTTTATAAGTTAATACCTTTCCAGTTATTCGCTACCGAAGGTATGAGTTTTTCTCGAGTTTTTCATAGAAAAGATCAATGTTTTTAATTGGTTACACGCGAAAAACGCGAAAAGTATGCATTTTATCAGAAAAACTGTGGAGAACAATATCGTAGCTTTTAAAAAACCAAGAAAATGTTTTTTTAATAATTGTTGTGCGACCTATACGCACCGAGTTGTAGCTTGTTAAAAGTTAGCTCTTTTTGCCAAAAGAGAGAGTTTCACAGACAAATAAAGGCAAAACCGATGGCAAAACTATGCATTTTTCGAGAAAAACTTGTACAACATTTCTTAAGGTATTAAAAAAAACATTTCTTCTTTTTTTTAAGAACAAACAGTAGCATAAAAATTAAGTGAGTTACGATGAAAATAACGTAGATCCGTACTTTTTTCAGCGAAAAATTAACACCCTAATTAAAATTCGTGCTCATCCTTTTTCAGTTTTCTCTAATTATGTATTATTACTACATTCTAGAAGTGTGGTCAGTTCAGAAAGCTTAATTTTGAAATAATTGAAGCTAAAAGTGAAAAACGAATTTCTATAATTTTGTGAACAACGTTCTTCTCTTCAAAATATCTACAAAACAAATAGAGATACGTAAAAAATGCTGCTACAGGATCAAATTGTACTTTTTTTAATTACAAACGTTTTCCTCGCCGGGAATTTTCTGTACAAAAAAATTAAGTGATATATAGACGTTTTAAGCTCGCCTCATTTTAAAAAAACTAAGAGTTTTAAAGAAATTTGATGTAAATAGCCTTGTAGCTCTTGTAAAAACCTACAAAATGGTTTTTTTAATGCACTTTCAATCATAAAAATAAAGGAATAAACGAAACCCAATTTTTCGAAAAATTCTGAAAGCACAAATCGAGCATATGATCCTCTAAATTACCAGTATGTATTTCGTATATTCATTAGAAACTTACATACACACTTACATTCATTCCATACACCTATACAATACATAGTGTATGAAGAATCAAGAATACCACCACTTTGAAAATATGAATTTTAATTAAAGAAAGAAAATAGAACCATGGGTTATAGCAAAATGAAGAGTTAAAATAACTTTTTTTCCACTAGAAAATAGGTTCAGATGTTCAATCCCAATCACACAAACACTCTTTATCTCTCAACTGTTTAATACACCACCTATGAGGGGGTTGAACACCCACACCTTGTTCGAATTGCATACTGAACAACTTGTAGTCAATAATAGATTATTAACTTTTTGAGGTCAATACACAATAGGGGTCGATTCATAAAAAATGTTACAAATCCAATCATTACTCGACTCATCTGAAGCAAATTTTACTCACCTTTTAAGCTTTAATATGTAGTTTTATGGGTTTTGACAAAAAGGGGTAGTTTTCGTCCCTAAAAAATGAAGAGGCGCTCTTCATCGGCATAATATAGATTTTGAAGTGGAGGGTAAGTTGAACTCAGGGTTGAACTTCATTCCTAATTTTCATGCAAATCGATGCATTTTGAAAAAAATTTCAGGTTTTATACGTTTCCTAGACTATAAAATCACCAAACTGATCGTTACGTTGCATCACGAACAATATTTGGTTGGGAAGACCCATTTTACGTATTTCTGCGGGAAAATCTAAAAAAATCAAATCCAACCTAAGGCGCTCGTTACATAGTGCAGGTGGTAAATGAGTTTTTTTATGTTAGAAGGGCGGATTTCACCCCCTTATACGGTTTCCAAGTAAATTCCATTTTTTATTTAGTAATACCGGGATCAATTCTATTTTTACAACAAGTTCAATTTTGAAACCACATAGTGTAGGCGGTAAATAATTTTTTTTAATGTAGACGGGCGACTTTCAACCCTTTAAAGAGTGAATGACAATTTTTTTAGTAATACTGGGAATCAATTCTAATTTTTAAAAAAATCTCAAATTTGAAACTTGTTAGTGCAGATGGACTATTTTCTGTAGCAATAATGGAAATCAATTCTAACTTTTTAAAAGGAGCTCGAATTGAGATTTGTGCGGGTGGAAAATAATTTTCTTAAACTAGACGGGCGGATTTCACCCCCTTAAACGGTGGCTAAGTGAGTGCCAATTTTTTTGGGAATCAATTCTAAAAGAAACTCAAATTTGAAACCTGTTTGTGCAGGTGATAATGAATTTTCTTAAACTAGACGGGTGAATTTCACCCCCTCAAACGGTTGCTAAGGGAATCTACTTTAGATATTCGATAATGAGGAGAAGAGGAGCAATTTGCTTGGTTTCACAAACGATGGTTACGGTTAATAATTAAACGCATGAGAATGTGGGGCGACCTTTGATTATAAGTTAATAAGGTAAGGTGTTTGCTATTCTAATATTGACTATTGTTAGTCAAATCGTTTGTAAAACATCGCAACAGTTATTGTCTATTTGTACCAATAAGGGGACTATCTCAAAAGTCCCCTGATTTCCCAAATCTCCAAGACAAAATCCAAAAAAAACTCAACTACAATACATTGCAAAAATCAGATTACGAATGACGACACACTTTACGACATTTCGGGGTTACTTCTAATTTATATAAGTAAGTGTAATAATATTCGTATCCCCCCCGTTTCGATGGTACTTTACAAATGATATATTTAAATACCAAAAGTGTTTGAGCAAATTTACGTGGAAGTCGGCAATTTCCAAAATTTAGACCTACGAAAACACGACGTGCACGCACATTACCAATTTTGTATAAGTTTATAAGTAAAACTTACCCCTTGCTGAACATTTTTTCAAAAAAAAACGGCTACAGTTCGCACTGAAAACGAAACCGACGCTCACGCACAACCGACGCACTTTAAATTGCCGATATAACTGTTATATTATAATAGAAATTGTCGTCACAGATAAGAATGCAGGTGGGACGCTCACGCGAGTTTCTTATCTACCTTGGCCATACTTTCATGAATCATTTAAATACAAATGTCGTTGACCAAGGTTTTGGGAATGGAATCTAATTATTATGTTTTTCCCATTTTTGTTGTTTTGCCAAAAATTTGGCGTTCACTTAGAAACCGTCTAAGAGGATGAAATTCGCCCTTGCACTTAAACAAATTCATTTACCATCCACACAATAATACTTTTTAATTGCTTGAGATTCCTCCGATTTTTTGGCCTCTTTACATGCCCCTCTTGCTGTGCCTGGGACTTATTATGTTACTGTATGCAAGCTGTAGTAGTTCTGGTAGAAACCTACAAAATGGTTTTTTTAATGCACTTTCAATCATAAAAATAAAAGAGTTATGATTAAAAAACGAAACCCAATTTTTTTCGAAAACTTCTGACAGCACAAATCGAGCATGATGATCTAAATGACCAGTATATATTTCGTATATTCATTAGAAACTTACATACACACTTACATTCATTCCATACACCTATACTATACGTAGTGTATATACAGGGCGACTTTGAAGATCTGAATTTTAATTAAAGAGACAAAATAAAACCATGATCACTCCTTCTCTCTGAACTGTTTAATGTTTATATCAACCTTTAATACACCACCTATGAGGGGGTTGAACACCATACTTTGTTCGAAATGTATACTGAACAACTGTCGTCAATAATAAATTATTAACTTTTTGAAGTCAATACAAAATAGGGGTTGATTTTTAATGATTGAAAGATTCATAAATTATGTTCCAAAGCCTCTAACAATCATTACTCAACTCATCTGAAGCAAATTTTATACACCTTAAGCTTTAATACGTAGTTTTATGGGTTTTGACAAAAAGGGGTAGTTTTCGCTAATAAAAAATAAAGAGCGCCCATCGGCATAATATAGATTTTGAAGTGGAGGGTAAGTTGAACTTCATCCAAAATTTCCATGCAAATCGATGAATTTTGAAAAAATTGCCAGGTTTTATAATCGTATACAACCAAGTTTCGTTTCCTATACTATAAAATCATCAAATTGGCTACTTTACGTTGCATCACGAATTGAGAAGACTATTTTATGTATTTCTGCGGGAAAATCTAAAAAAATCAAAGCGAACCCTCGATCGAACCTAATGCGCCCGTTACATAGTGCAGGTGGCAAATGAGTTTTTTTATGTTAGAAGGACGGAGTTCACCCCCTTCAACGGTTTCGTCGGTTTCCAAGTAAATTCCATTTTTTCTTTAGTAATACCGGGATCAATTCTATTTTTAAAACAAGCTCAATTTTGAAACCACTTAATGTAGGTGGTAAATGAATTTTTTTTTTATGTAGACGGGCGACTTTCAACCCTTTAAAGGGTTACTAATGAATGACAATTTTTTTTAGTGATACTGGGAAACAATTCTAACTTTTAAAAAATTTCCAATTTGAAACTTGTTAGTTCAGGTGGTAAATGATTTTTTTGAATCTAAAGGATCAGATTTCACCTCCTTCACCAGTTGCTAACTAATGAACAATTTTTTTTTGAGATTTGTGCCGGTGGTAAATAATTTTCTCAAACCAGAGGGGAGGGTTTCACCCCCTTAAACGGTGGCTAAGTGAGTGCCAATTTTTTTGGGAATCAATTCAAAAGAAACTCAAATTTGATACCTGTTTGTGCAGGTGAGAAATGAATTTTCTTAAACTAGACGGATAATTTCACTCATTCAAACGGTTGCTAAGTGAATGCCAATTTTTTTAAATACCTACTGGGATTCAATTCCAAATTTTTGAAAGCAACTAGAATGCTTGACTCCTCTTTGTGCATGTAGTGAATGAAGTTTCTTAAACCAGAGGGGCGGATTTCGTCCCTTTAAACGGTTGCTAAGGGAAAGTACCTACTTGAGATATTCGATAATGAAGAGAAAAAGACTTTCGTTTCACAAACGATGGTTACGGTTAACGATTAAACGCATGAGAATGTGAGGCAACCTTTGATTATAAGTTAATAAGATAAGGTGTTTGCGGGTGTTTACTATTCTAATATTGTGAATCAAATCGTTTGTAAAACATGGCAACAGTGTCTATTTGTACCTCTAAGGGAACTATATCAAATGTCCCCTGATTTCCCAGATCTCAAAGACTAAATTCCAAAAAAAAACTCAATTATAATACATTGCAAAAATCATGTTACAAATGACGACTTCGGGGTTACTTCTAATTTATATAAGTAAGTGTAATAATATTCGCAACCCCCCGGTCTCGAGGGTATTTTATAAATAATATATTTACTTAAATAAATAAATAGGTACCATAAGTGAAACTTACCCCTTGCTGAACATTTTTTCAAAAAAAAACGGCTACAGTTCGCACTGAAAACGAAACCGACGCTCACGCACAACCGACGCACTTTAAATTGCCGATATAACTGTTCAATTATAATAGAAATTGTCGTCACAGATAAGAATGCAGGTGGGACGCTCACGCGAGTTTCTTATCTACCTTGGCCATACTTTTAATAGCGTGAATCATTTAAATACAAATGTCGTTGACCAAGGTTTTGGGAATGGAATTTAATTATCATGTTTTTCCCACTTAACCAATTATTTTTGTTGTGGATTACTACGAGTACAGGGAGTGATTTACCAAAAATTTGGCGTTCACTTAGAAACCGTCTAAGAAAATGAAAACAAATTCATTTGCCACCCACACAATAATACTTTTTAATTGCTTGAGATTCCTCCCATTTTTTGGATTTGTGTTCTTGGCCTCTTTACATGCCCCTCTTGCTGTGCCTTGGGACTTATTATGTTACTGTATGCAAGCTGGGATTTTGGATGAAAAACATCAAGAAGAACAGTTCTTCAGTTTCTTTAAGTTCGCCAGTTTTCATTTTTTCGGATCTTCTATGGCTCTACAAATTGAAATACATAGGTACGGAACTACAATTTCTAGTAACGAAATGCCCGTTTGAGTTCGTCGATATACCGAGTGTTCATTAAAGCTGGAACTACGGTGAGTTTATTAATTCTGGTATAATACCTCTACCAAATTAATGCTTTCGCGGAGCATTCGCGATTAAATGTTCAGAAAAGACACTAGAAACCTGTGAAAGGCACCCTTCAATTTCGGGCTTTGAAATATAATAATAGCATTCGGAGCGTTTTAGGTTCTCAAAGAGTTTTTGTGGTCCTTTGTGCTCAAATACTGTTCAGAAATGGCGTAAATAGGTTCTAAAAGAAAAGACAAAATGTGGAAACATTTTGAAAGAACCCATGAACATGAACGGTCTAGGACCGTCAAACAAAAGGTGTCTAGAAACCATTGAACAGCCTTCAATTTTATTGTAAGTAGATCCTCCGAGTGAATGGGAGGACTCTAAAGGGCCCCTGATGTCTATGCAAAGTTTTAAAGTGCTTTCCAGAGTCTTACAAGTTCTTTTCAGAGCACTTTTGCGTGCCTTTAGTCCGGCAGAACTTTTTTTTTAGTTTTTATGGAGCAGGCAACCTAGAGAGCTCTAGAAAGAATCTAAAAAATTTGAAAGGACCTAAAAGTTCTGTGAGGGGGATGGAGGCTTATAGAGAAGCTTATGGAAAGAGCTTCCTAGGCCCTTTCTATTTCTCTGGATAACCTAGCTCTCTTGAAACCATCGAGACGACCTTCCGGAGACTTTTCAAACTGTTCCAGGGACATTTTAAAGATTTCTATCTCTTTATTTGCTCTTCATAGAGAATAGTATATTGAAACACAAGTGTTACAATGCGACCTATTGTAATAAAACTATCTTGTGGCACGAGTGGCGACGCGAAGCGTAGCCACGAGTGTCCGCAAGATAGGAGTATTACAATAAAGCATTGTAACACGCGTTTTTCATACTATTTTTTCTATTTCGGTGCTTTAATTTAATTAAAAAAATTATTATCAGAAACTATAGGGAACATTCGAACTAACATGTTTTATGTTGGGAACACTTTTTATGCCGTTAAGTTTTAGGTTGGCAGCGTAGTAAGACTGACATTTTGAAGTTCAAACATGGAAGTACCCAACGAAGTACCTACTTGTACTAACTAGTAACTGCCAACTTAAGAGATGAGTTACCAAAAAAAAACGACTATAATCACTGTCTTTGTACAACCGTTTTCGGCCGAAAACAGTTGTACAAAATCATCATTGTGACACCGAAATAGAAAAAAGAAGTTTTCCACAGAATTATTATGAATATTCTGGATTTACAAGGTTCTGATATATCTTTAGCTTACCACAGACTTCTAGGTACTCGGTGGTTTAACCTAGACCATTGTAGATTCCCATAGCTCTACCGAGAATCTAGAACAATTTAAAAGGGCTCATAAATCCCTTAAAAGCCCTGGAAGGCCCGAGTTTCCACATCTTTTAATACATTGCCCAAAGTTTTTGGAGCATTTTCAGAGCTTTCCGACGTCAAACGCCTAAAAAGATATGCGGTCCGGAAAGGCACGCAGAAATGCTCCAGAAACGCATTAGAAATCTCTGGAGAGCACATATAAGATCATGGAAATATAGACGTCTGATACTTCCATATTTTCGTACGTGTGTATATAGCGGCCTAGTTACATTGACAAGGGTTATAAACCCCTCTTGTAGAAAATAAATTTTATTCTCTACGGCACTGGTAAAAATTGTACTGTAATAACTACTTGTCATACAATAATAATAAATACCACGACTAGTTCAGTAATGACTCTCACCTTGCGGAAGGTTGGTTCTTTATCTCCACTGAAAATTAAAACTTGATGCTTTGGTTTGACCACTCTCAAGTAAGTAATTGATTTGTTTGAATAGTTTACATGAATCTCGGGCCAGTTCCAGTTTTCCTTACATTGGTGGTGATTTAAAAGATTGATGTACTTCTTGTAACAAATACAAAAATTAAGTTTTCCAAGTTCTACATCGTGATCACGTTTCTAATCT